ACGAAGAAATCATCGGCTTAAGAAGTCAGTTTCTAAATATTTATTGCATGCTTCGAGGCTCCTCCACTTTGAGAACGGCTGACTTCCTGAGTACCTGCTCCAGCCGGAAACTGCTGTTTGAGTTTCAGGGTTTGAACTTGAACTATTGGAAGACCTAGCTTGCAAGACTTCTTTGAATTGAGGATGATCAATAATCTGGCGAACAAGCAAGTCGACAGTGGGAGTAGAGTTCGCCATAATTATTCGATTCCTCGATCAAAGTTTTCCCGCTTTCCAAAATAACGCCGCTGGCCAAAGCGATAACGGGCACAATAGCCGAATATATTTTACTTACTTTTGTCCTGTCATATATTTATTTATTCAGTACCATATACATTGACTTGGTCCATGCCATATATATGTTGCACATATATTCTATTCATATATTTATTTGATCCCTGCCATATGTACGTAACTTTTGCATTTTATTTTTTGGGCACACAATATTGTCCTATGTAGCACCCGATTAAAAATAAGGCCTGAAATAAAATTCTGGCCCGTACGGGATTTGAACCCATGACCTTTGCGATACCGATAGTGCTTGGGGTATTGCTTTGCTGTTTAATAACAATGCGTGAAAAACACGGTAAGTCTTTGTTATTGCATGAAAGCATTGTTTTATTTACTCGAAAGAAAAGATTTACTTAGAATTGTCACGAATTTCTGATTTAGTTTGATTATAGTTAGAGTTCGCTTCCTTCTTGCGAATGTGTATCTTCTTCATTTGAATTTGTTCTGATTGAGTCCTTCATTTGATTATTTTAAGCACAGTATGCATTTAAAATCAGCCTTTACTGGGAGACAGAGAGGACTTTCATGTCTAAGTCTGATGGAAAAAATAATAAAAAAGTAATCCTCACATTAGACCCGGCCCAAGAGCCATAATTATGGCTCTTATAACCCGGCCTTAACAGCTCGGCGCGTGACGTCACATAAGATGGTCGCGGCATCCACCTACTTATAATCCCTACGCGTCAATATTTTTTTGCAGCTGTTGCCTGGCATTTCAAATCGCTGTCTTCTTCTTGAGACTTCCTCTAAACAATAACTACGCCATGGGGGTAACCTGTACGACCCATTACTTTCCTCAGTCGCGTCAGGAATCTGCCCCGTTGTCCTCAAAGCTCTACAAACCATTTCCGAAGAAAAAGCGCAGTACTCGCGGCGGTGTAATTATGCAATTAACGGGGGAAGGACTGGCAAGTAGCATCCCTCCGCGATACATCAACGAGCTGATCTCTTCAGTTCGATATCGTTATCAATACCAGTGTTCCTTTGCTGCCCAGGATGACTCCGAACTTATTTACGGTAAGATACGATACACGATATTTCTCAGTTTCAGAATGTTTAGCGCACGGATGAACTACAAATCCAAAAGGAACGTTATCCATGATTGACCAATGACAAAATCATTGTATTTTGCATTTGGCCATATATTATTTGTGTCGAGAATTTCGAAGCTTGTTTAATTTTTAACTCGAAAAGATTGTGATATGGCGATTTTAAAATAGTTCTTTCGCTGGTTGCTTTAACGAGATTTTGATATGAATGTCAAGATCGTTTTCAATGTATTTTTTTTTTTCATATAATTACTTGCTGTAGCCGCACTGTTTTACTTACACCTGTACATACATAAAAGAAAGCAATACCCCAATTTTTATGAGATATGTTTTTTCGCCCGTTGTTTGAATTAGGAGACCGAACACTTTTTTCACTGAGACTAAAAAAGGACTAAGTCTCCCTTTAAAACGTTGCCTGCGATAAGCCAAGTGTGCGTAGACGAATCGATGAGGAAAATGGCGGTATATAGAAGGGAATATTCATTATATATTTAAAAGACTGTGTGGATGAAGACGAAAACAGTAAGTCTATCATAAATGCAAATGCTGTACTAAAATTTTCATTTTATAAATATGTGATGATCACGATGGAATAGTCGACTGATTTAAATAGCGGTTATTTTGCGAGAATAGATTGACGGCACAAGGCTTAATTGTAAGTGAACTATTCATTCTCTTGACAGTTTTGCATATGACTACAACAAGCTGCACGGCCATTAAAACTCGTTCATATATTGGTGTGCGCTGAAAATGGAATTCTTTAGGAAGATATGCGTCACAATATCAGGATGACTTAGCTCCTCGGCCAACGAGCTGATTAAATCAAAAATTAAAACAGGGCGACCCTATCTGAATACCCGAGAAAACAATAATGCAACTAATAACCAACTGTCTGTAGGACTCTCTCTTTTTTTTACCTGTTCGCCATGATAATCTAATCGACGAAAAGTAATGACAAACATAAGGCAACAGTTCTTTTTTTTTTTTTAATTGTTGCCTGGGGCAGAGGGTGGAGGATTTTTTTCGGGAAGGGTTACATGGTTTTCATGACGCACGGAGACGAGATCACTCGTCACTCGTCACTCGTCACTCGTCACTCGTCACTCGTCACTCGTCACTCGTCACTCGTCACCAACAGAGTTTAGAAAATTGACGACCAATTAACTGCCAACGAAGGGAGGGGGGTCATAATAATATTAAAGATCCTTGGGGGGATCAGATAAGATTTATCGTGACACAACCAAAATCCTCCAACCTTCCCCCCTCCCCGGTCCCTAAATTGAACCAAAAAAAGTCTGTATAATCGATATCGGTGGCACAGTTATTATACCGTAGTTCTTGGATGCACTATATTTTGACTGCTCATAACAGTTTTTTCTCAGACACGAAGTAGAGATTTCACTACGGTATACTGTAACTTTATCCCTCCTGCTGGCTTATAGATATTGAAATAATTAACAACTGTTAGATTCGGTTTTCGCATGATAGCGATAATTATCAAGGCCAAAGTTTGTGTTATCGGCCGAAGCCGAAGGCTTCGTGAACAGTTGAGCTTATTTTTCACTCTTACATGACTCTTTCCTAGGAGTTGTGGTGGAGCCAACATATCACTTGGCTAAGCATCCGACCTTTACTTCTCGCACGCGCACGTGGGACTTAGCATCCTCGCCCTCAACGGCCATTACCAAGTATCATTGCACATTAACTTCCGGTCCTTGGTCGATCTCCCCGGATGGACAACAGTTGTGCTGCTTAGCCATGAAACCGGGCATAGACGAAGAGGAAGATCTTTTCTTATCGAGGTACGACTCTACACCGCAGAAATGTACTCCTTGTAATATCCCAGGGAGTTTGTCGGAATATCGACGGATTTATCCCCAGGGATGTCCTTACTCGCACGATGGGAGCATGATTGCTTCAAGTCGCGTTGTTGCCGGAGCCCTCCAATTGACAATCACTGCAGCGCGTAACGGAAAGACAATTTGCAGTGGAAGAGTCAGCAGGGCTTGCTTTGGTTTTCGTGGTGTTGTCGTTAATTGTACATTCTCTCCAAACAATTGCCTTCTTGCTGTTACCTCTTCTTACGGACAGTTATATTTGTTGAACTCTACCAGGTTAACCCGTGTGAACAGTTTAGATTGTGCGACTATTCTGTCTCCATACAAAGTTTCAGAACTTGCTAATGGAAACACGGAAGACTTCGTCACGCATTCCGTTTGCGTGTTTGATCCACGATTCCCTTTCCAAGAGTTTCTCACTTGCGTCCCGTACGCTGGGGTAGTGAAGATGTGGCATATATCATGTTGCGATAAGAAAGATTCAGAGATTCAAAACAGACATACGTTAACCTTCAAACAGCTATTAAACGTGGTTAGGTATTCTCCTAATGGAACGATTCTGGCTGTGGGGGGAAACGATGGGACCATCTCTTGTATAAGTGTTGATGATGGAACTGTGAGCTTTGTTCTTGATGTCACACAACAGCCACCAGAATTCCACAGTGATGCAGGTGTTTTTCACGTGGCGTTCACGCAGAGTGGAGAGCAACTTGCTGCCAGTTACAGTGATGGTTTCATACGAATTTGGCAACTGCCAACAGTTTTTGATCTGAAGTTGCTATGTCGACTAGTGGTAAACGCATGCGTCCCACCCAACAAAGTTCTCCAGCTTCCATTGCCCCTAGGACTTCGAAAATTCCTTCTGAACATAAATTTTTGATGGTTTTGGAGGAACGTCATTTGCGGCGTGCAAACCAATAGCCCCATGAACTGAAGCAAACTGTTTGCTGAGGCGCGAGAAAACACGAGCGTCTATCTCGCGGTTATCTCGCGGTTAGTTTTAATTTTTGGTTGGTCGAGGAAGATTGGTTGAAAGTAGCTTGGCTAAACATACGATTTAAATCCGAAGAGAAACCATACTTTCAAAACATGCAGATGCAAAATCACAAATAAATGAGTTGTTAGCAATCCCGGTCTTGCTCTGATGCTAGGTCCCAGATCACCATCAAGTTGTCGTCTTAAATCTACGATAGCAAGAAATTAATTCAGCGCAAAACCCTACCCGAAAGAACGTAACTCCTCTCTTAAGTCACCAAGTCTGTTCCAAGATGTAATTGTTTTTGGCTACTGTTTCAAAATATGCTCATTAAACGAAGTTATCCCCTTGGTGTAAAGGGAGACGTCAATACAAACATTTTAACACCCACTCCTATTGTTCAAGCTTAATTATTCATGGGCGACGTTTTGAAACTACCTTAAAATAAATTGCTATGTCCTTCTAACTGTCGCTAAACATGCACAAGTCACGTATAGAAATTGTAAAATAAAAATGAAAAAAAAAAAGGAGTAAACGATTATGAAAATAATAGTGATAAAAAAGCGAGGAAGTTATTATTTCTAATTTCGAGAAAAGGGGAAACAAAAAGCAACCGACACGTACCAAAACCCTATCAAGAAAAAAGCACAACAGTCAAGTGGCCCGAAAATATAACCGCCCAGAAAAAAAAAGAGAAAGGAATTTGGATTTTGGATTCCAGTGGATGATTTTGGATTTTTAACACTAGTGGCCGATTCTGGATTCTTGCATAATAATGGCTGATTCTCGATTTTGGACGTTAAAGGCTGATTTTGGATTTTGGAGACTAGTGGCCGATTTTCGGAATTTGGATACTAGTGGCCAACAACATGGAATGCCTTGTCGTGTGAAAGGAAAGTCTCACAAAAATGGAGTTACAAAATATTTATAATTAACAGGCCAAGATGGATATACTTCATTGCCATGTTTCTCAAAAAAATTTGAAGAGTTTTCTAAATAGATTTTTTTGTGAAAGTAAAGTTTAGTTTGAGCTTGCGGCCTTTTCCGGTCCATTCCGTAATATTCATAATTGGCGCCCGCGAGCTCCCAAAAGCCTGGGTTCCACTAGTGACGTTGCGAGTGTCTGCGTGGCTCCTGTAGCGAAAATCAATATGGCGGACGACAGTGCGGCGTTATCGAGTGAACAAAACCGACTTGTGGACGACGATATGAAGAAGCTTTCAGAAGACGGAAAAGTGGACCAGAAAGAGTACCTGGTTTGTTTTTTTCATGCCTTCTTTATATTCTTTTGTATGTTTCGTTCTAGACCATAAGCCCCCACAAACTATTTTGTCAGTCCTCTGTTTTGTAAAAGTAACCTTTTAAATATTGTTTGTGGATCAGCTGTGTTATTGATTTATGGATAAGGTGGAAATAGTTACAACAGGTGCTAAAAGTTTTGGAACTCTTCTATGATTGTTTTGTCGCCTGATACGTATTGTTTTTTTTTTTTCTATTATAGGAAACATACAATGTTGTTCTCAGTTGTGTCAAGTCCTTGCTTGATTTGAGTCGGTGAGTTTGCTCGCAATTTTGTATCCAAGATCGTTTGAAACGGAAGTATTTTTTCATGCGATATGTTGATGTTTAGCTTTTAAATGCTTAAGCGATATTTCTTGACAAAATAGTGAAATTTTTTGTCTGTTTTAATCTGTCATATTTGACCATGAACGTCATTAGGGCTATAGCTGGTAAATGTAATTACATGTCGTTGATGTGAAATGTTTATACTTTATTGCTATTTCGATATTCTTGAACAGGGACAAAGAGCACAAAGAGGAGAGTTTGTCTGAGGATACAGATGAACCACAATCGTAAGCTCACTGTTTTTTCACTCATTTGTGAAAGAAATTTTTTCAATTGTCACTTCTGGTATTAAAGTAAGGAATAGCTTCAGGATAGATTAAAGCTGGTGATCTTGCTCTATTATGCCTTGGCTAAGGGTCATGCAGCTCCTAAGCTAAGTAATTTTATTCAAGTGTAGTCCTGTTGCCCTCCCCTACCCCCCACCCCCTCCCCACTAGTTTGATTGAATTGACTGATCACTTATCACAATTTCACTTGAGGTTAGAAGTATGAGTTGTTTTGATCAATGAGGGACACATTGGCTTCATGATTATTGTTTAGGATTGTATATCAAAAGGTCTAACTAGCTGTCAGCCTTGGCCAGATTGATGTGTTGTTTTCTTAGTCAGAACACAGAACTCTGTCATTCCCTCTCTCCACCCAGGAGTATAAATGTATACTGACAAACTATTGGGCCAAACTGAAAATGCTGGGGGTTACAGATCAAATACAATGAACTAGTATCCCATCTAGAGAATTAGAAGGAGGGTAGCAATATTTTCAGTCACTTCATGCCACTGCAACAATGATAAGCTCCAGCAGGATAGACTGTCAACTAATTTTACCTTTTCTCATTGTACAACAAGTTTAGAACTTTGACCACTTTTACTAAGAAACATTGTTGATACTCCTTGCTACCTCAAGGTCCAAACCATTCATTTTCTTATGCACGGATTTCATTAAGGGCCGGGCACCGGCCAAATTGACCGGTTGTAAGGACGGTTTTGCTCACCTGGTTTAACAATCTGGAGGAAGGTTTATCTTATAAAGTTTAGTTAAAAAAGTTTTGCCCACCTGTGAAAACCAGTTTCTCTCCTGCTGAAAACATTAATGAAACCCCTGCTTATGCTGATGTTTCATGATTGTGTAAGCCCCTTGTCATAGGGGATCTTTATCATGGATTTTATCATGTTTAAATAAATGATGTTGTTGTTGTTGTTGTTGTTGTTATTGTTGTTGTTGTTGTTGTTGTTGTATGGTTTGATGAAGGGCTGATATTCAAAACGTCAGCTTTAGAATCTCTTTACCACAGTCAGTTCATATTATCAGTACTCATTTGATAAAACAAAATGTTCCTGTGATACCCAATGGCTTCACCTAAGCAGCAACACAGTCTCTTAAAGCAACTTTCCCCTTTTTATTCATTTTTTATTTTATTGAGTCTGATTTTCTCTCAGTGTGACTTGACTACACTTAAATTAAGCTTTTCCCTTTAGCAAATTCAATCCAACTTTGTAAATTATTATGGCACTGCTGAATACACGTAGACTGGATTAATCCTTACACTCCCAGAAGTGATTATGTAGAGGTTATGTGTAGTATGCTATTATTTATGACTCCTAGGAGATAAACTGTTAGATTTGAATTTAAAAGTCATGAATATTTAAGACAGGAAGAAATAAATTTCAAATATGTTTCCAGCTGTATTTACTCATTGTTAAGCTCTTCCTAGTTATGCATATATTAAAACTCTTGGTTGTTATGCATGACTTAATGTCATTGTTATTGTCAAATTTTTGTTGGGAAACTTCAAATCTGTTTTGGTTTTACATGTATGCATTTAAAATTTACTACAGAAAGTCTACAAGCAGCAGGGTCTTGCTGCTTTAATTGTGAACAGTTTAACCTTTTTTGTCTTAAATAGTTTTGGTTTAAATAAAGTGTGGTTTAAAGCTTGGATAACTTCCTCATTTAAATAGGAATTTTTATTGTCTCATTAATAATAATTGTCACTTGGTTGTCACAGGAACAAACCTCTTTTTAAAGTATGTTCTTTTTGACTTGTAATTGATTTTTTATCACAGAATTATTAAAAATTTTCTTGTCAACTTTTATACAGGAAAACAGAGTTGAGTAAAGTGCTGTCTCAAATCTGTGGCCTAGTGGATCATGAAAAGCCACAAATGCAGTAAGTGGTCCTCATCAATTTTTATTTACATAATACTTACTTGTATATACTGGCTTTTTAATTGTTAAAATGAATGGAGAATGGTAGCCAATCTCAAGTAACTTCCAAACTTGGCAATCACTTTTCTCTACTTTTTCTTGGTCTTGGCCAGAACCTGTCTATGCTCTTATCTGGGTAGATGCACTGTGCCTAAGTACATAGAGAGGTTTCCTTCAATCATTCTAGATCCAGGTGTCAAAACAGTAAGCAGAGAATGTGAACCCTGATAAATTGATTGAATAAGGCACAGAGTTCCAATTCTTGAAAGTTTTATTTTTCTGTGATCAAGAATGGAAAGACAATTGGGAAAGAAAAACCACTTTAAGTCTCATTTTACTCTGATATTGTTTTTATTGAAGAATAGTGGGCATTATTAGAATTGTTTCACTTTACTGGATATTTTAAGTCTGTTCAATAACTGATGATGCCTGTGAACAAAAACAGATTCTTTTGCATATGGACCCTCTGAGAAAAGGGTTCCTATACAAATTAGGGCATCAAATCAAGTCAATATAGTGTGCGCTACTTTGCTGAGAAAATAAAGCCTTGCTACAGCAAGTTAGTGTGTTAATAACATTCATTACACGACTCAGGCAGTCAGAGGGCCAATAACTAAAATCAACCAATCAAAATGCTCTATTACCGGTCAATATTCTCTCAGTTTTGGACCAGGCACTGTCCTGAATGGTCCCAAATGATACCGCACTTGCATCCCTTTGAACTTCAGTCATATAATAAATCTCTTATTAACCAAGCTTGCTCGGGACTGTACTGGAAAAATATCAGCCCTTGGTCTTTTTTGTACAGACCTCGCTGCGCTTGGTCCATACTGTCAAGACCTTGGGCTGATATTCTCCCAGTCCGGCCCTTGTGCTTGGTTAATAAGATATATATAAGTTAGAAATAACGTTAAGGCTTGGATAGAAAGTCTTACCTTTTTACAATGCCCTTAGTCTGAGAGATGATGATGATGCATTTTTTTTTTCAAGGTTCACCTGTACACCAGATCATTACACTCACGTCAACATCATTGGCAAGACGTTATCATTATATTTATCCTTGTTGGATGAAGCCTATGTAAATAAATTGTCTGCTTGTATCAGGTCTGACTGCTCTCACTGGTTATCTAAGCTGTTTGGGTAAGAAAGATTTGTCATAATTTAAATTGGAGGTTGGGCTCTTGAAATAAATAGGACACCTTGCATTTTACTTTTTTTGGCTAGTAAGGCTAATATTCACCGCAAAAAAAAGCACTTGTATATGAAACTATCAAAGCAAATCTAATGCCATAAAGAGTTAATTGATCTCAAGTTTGTTTTAAGAAACTGTAATAGATGCATGATCTGAACTGATCAGATGGCTTAATTGAATTATGCCAGAATGGTAATTATGCTTTGCAAATGCCATAATTCTAGGGGGCATCTGGGTACATGCTCCTGGAAAAAATTGCATGCTTCTCTAAAAAAAAAATGGAAATTCAAAACTCTTAGAGAGATGTGATTTCTATTGTTCTGGGACATCTGTGAGTAAAATTGAAAATCCAATTTGTTTTACACATACTCTGTTACATTTGCAGATATGAAAATGCTCTTTGTTGCTTTCATGAACACCAATGGGATGGGTTGGTGCGAGGTAAGGCTTGAATTATTCTTACATGTGCAGCAGTAAATGTATGCTGATGAATCAAATCTAATCAAAACTATTTCAAAATTCTTGAACCTGATTGGTTATCACTAGCCCAATTTGCAGCGTATGCGTCATGCTTGTAATAGGACAGTGTAAAAGGACAGTTGACGCATCATACCTGTGTAAGTGGACAGTACATGTCTTGTGCTTGCTGCTGTTGCACATTTTCCCATCTAATTGGAAAAAAAAAGGTATAACTGATGTCTAGTTTCTTTTGCAAATGTTGTCATAGTTTGATTAATTAGTAACAGGACTTCATGTTGTCTAATTCTGTCTGTAATCATCCTTGTGATTGACAAATTGGACTCCCACTTCATCGTTGTCCAATTTTGTTAATCACCTGTTTGATTACAGACTGAACTGGACACCACTCAGTCCTATTCCCATTATTAATGGTGCACAAATATGTTAGCTCAAACAACGATCTGTATTCAGTTTGCAGGTTGGCTTTACGACTGAAATACCCCAAATTTGGAACAGAAGGATTTACAGCTCTGTATACCAGGTAACATTTCTCAGGTCTCAAACTTGGGCATACTCAACAAATTACATGTATATGAAAATTTAATTTTGGCTTTGTTTAGTCGAAGATGACTACATTTAAGTTAAGATGCTCTTGTAGTGTGATTGTCAAAATATCAGTCACATCTATCAAAGCATACCCTCAATTAATTAGGAGTAAATGTTGCAAGATCAGTTGTTACACACAACATCCTTTTTTATGATTTGCATTGATTTGTTTGCAGGCCCCCTGTAGTGTACATCAGTTCATCTGCTTTTAACTCACTAGGACATTATTTGTGTACACAGGTATGTTTTCTGGAGAAAAAATTTCAATTTTAAGTTCTAATTAAAAGTCCTAAGAACATAACTGATATCATTAAAAACTGGATCATTGGATAATGCAATTCAAGACTTTTTATTGGCCTAGCTATCATGGTATATTAGCCAATATACCATAATCTACAAATATGGTAAGCATACACATCAGCTTAAAATTAAAAGGGAGCTAAAAATGTAATGAAATTTAATAATTTAATTTTAATTAATGTTTCTAATAAAACAATTATTCCACTTGCACTTGTTGGATATGAGATGATTAGAGCGAAGTCGGCATTACGCGCCCCATTGGCTATTTATCATCTCATATCCAATGTGCGCTCACAAGTGGAATAATTGTTAAATATACCGTATCTCCTTTTGACATGTATTTAGCTAGGGAATGATGACAGTATGAATGTAAACTTTGCAACATTCATTCATTTGATATTCTACTTGTTTTAACTGGCTAATTGAGTCATGACCAGAATCTACATTAAAATTAGTTGAGACATAATATTTACAACATCTGATTAAAAAGAAGGATATTTAGAATTTATTCCATTTTTGTCTTAACAGCTGGGATTACCTCAATCCAGTGTCTGTAAAGGTAAAGACTTAAAAAAGGTGGTTTAATCCACTTTACAATAATACAATTTCTTTGATTTTTTTGGCATGTTAAGTAAAATTATGAAAAATATCTCACTCTGTAAGGAATTCTGTAAAAAATAACTCATCTGTAAGACAGAGAAACAGTTTGTGTATACTTAAGGTAAACTGGAACACGAGGAATCCGTAACAGTGTTCGAAATTTGTCATCGCTTTCATTTCTCAATTATATCCAAGAAAAGATATTTATGTAGTAAATTAGGGTGTTGCAAATTGGTTGACTAACTTGATTTGACCAATACCGGTACCTGTTGTTCCAAGCTATAGAAAAAAACATTAATTCTTTTTTGAAATCTTTGTAATACTAATTTTCTTTTCATGTCTTCTCTAGTACCATGCAACACAGTATTTGGTTCAACACATACAATGGTGAGCTATCAGTAACTCTACGTTTGACATGGTTGTCTTGGTTTTTTCTTACAAATAGCAGATCTATTTCAAAGACGATCACTGAGTTTGAATACTCTGAAGGCCAGATGGGGACCATGTACCATTGGCAAATGAAAGCTCCCTCTTACTGTAAAATGACCTCAAATTTCTTTTTTCTAAACTGGGCTAAACCTCACCCAGCTTTTGTATTTTTTTTTTTTTTTTCTGCACACCCAATGCAATATTTGCTCTGTAATCACCTACAGTCTGGTGTCACTGATGAATAACAGGAAAATTTATGGGGTATGATTAAAGAGCCTGATCTTGTTATAACTTAAACCATTTTTGTATGCCTCACAATGAAGAATTTCTTGAATTCCCACTTGACAGGACATTGCTGCCTTTGAGAGGCTCTTCAATGATGATGTATCATGTGGCAAGACACCACTGCTTCTTATTGCTTATGCAGGTCTGTAGATACTTTTCTCTAATGAATCACAACCTTTTTTAGGCCACTTGAATAAGTCTTATAGCCAATAACATCACAACAAATCAGTTTACACAAACCAGACAATTAAAACTTGACTGACCGCAACTCTTCACTTGACTCTGAGGATGACTCCCGCCAGGTTGTGGGAAACAGTCCATCTCGGAACTACCCTCACCTAAAGGATTAGACTACACAATCAACCAAATACCTTTCTCTGAAAGCTGTTTCATGATGACCTCAGGTTCAAATAGATGCATTGTCATTTTCTCTTGCTTCTGATAATGCTTCTTCCCTCATCATTACTTTTAATTATGAAGTAAATATTTTGACGAAATAACATTATTCATTGATCTGATTTAAAAAAAATGTTTTTACTTTCTTGTTTTAAACAATTTTTATAGGAACCCCATTGGCTGGACATACTGATAATCTCAGTAGATTAAGAGAACTTTGCACACAGAACGGTCTCTGGCTTCATCTAGAAGGGTATGGTTAATAATGTTCTTGTATTGCACTGGACAGTGGACTAAGGACTAAGGACTACGGTTTTTTTACGGAGGAACTATTACTCATACTTTTTATTCCTTCTTGCTTGTGAACAGACAATTTAACAGAGGCATTTGTACCTGTGGTGAGGGTTCTGAGTGTTTATACTCTCCCAGTAATTGATTCTATGATAACAGTTTTTTTTTTTGGTACATTTTTTTCAAGGGACACCTTGGCAACTTTGTGTCTTGAAACAGTTCCTGCTTCCTTGAAGGTATTAATTTTGTTATGGAATTTTGTAATGGCCTTCAATTATGTTCATTTAATTTATCGGGGTAATAAGTTATGCTTCTGTTACTTTGATCTCCAGAGTGCCCCTGCCTGTGACAGCATGAGCCTAAATATCAGCAAATGGTTTGCATTGCCCAGTGCACCATATTGTGTATCCTCTGATGATAATTAGACAAGAAAACTAAATGTTCCATGAATTTTTCTCCTCATGTTTTTATAATATGTGGGCCTTTTCCTTTGATATAGAAGATAACCTGATCCATGCTTTTGCAGAAATGAATTGACAGTAAAGATTTCCTAAAGCTGATGTGTCAAATGTTAGTCCATCCTCAGAGTGTTTGATTGATTAATTGAGAACAATTATAGCAAGGCAGGAATTTTTTGGAATCTTCATGTAGCTACTCTGGGAAAAATTCAGAGAAAAGTTGTATCAAATCATCTGCATGACTTCTTTCATGACAGGTGGTAGGTGGCCTTTGAAAATGATTCAGGGGTTAAAGTTAATGAGTTCTGTAGCAATATTTGTACTAGATATTATAAGCTTTTATGTATTTCATGATTATTGTTCATCGAATTACTGTAAGTTACGTTTGTTCATTTACCTCAAATAACAAATGTTTGAGGATAATGCGACTTAACATTTGAGGCCTTTAATGCCAGTAGTTAACAATAATGGTAATTTTATTTTAAAACTTTTCTTAATTTGGAGTAAGACATTCTACAGGGCCAAAGATCTTGTTTTGGTATGTATATTCCATTACAATTATTTTTCCTATTTCTCTTCATTTTCTTTTTTCTTTTTTTTTTTTGCATTCACTCTTCACTTCTTTTCTCCTCATTACTTTTAAAAGTATGACAAACATCTATAATTTTATGTTTATTGTTAAGATCCAGCTCTTTTATTCTATAGGCAGAGGCCTCAGGACTCAGTCAAAGCCACACATCTGATAGACTGTCTGTCCTTCCTCTTTGGATTAGTATTCAGACTATTGGTAAGCACGAATTGTATGTGGGACCTTTTCTGCCTGAGATATTTCCACTCTCAGTCCAATTGGAACCACTGGGGCAAGTAGCTTCTTTTCTGAGCTCTTGTTCTTATTACATCAGTGGTGATTACAGATAGGGTTATTGCCTCTCTCTCTAATATTATTGCTAGAATCTCAGCTTGTTTATAAAGAAATATAGACTCCCCTAAATAGGTGTCAACTACTACCAGCTCCATACAAACAACTCAATCATAACATTAACCTTACAAACAAACCAAACAGAACTACCTAACTTTACTGATGGATCCAAACAGACCAATCACAATGCAGAGCTCGAAATTAACGGTAACCCGTTAACCAATGGTTAATAATTTTCAACGTTTGGTTACTAAAAATGTGTCCAACTAACCTGACATGGTTAGTAAAATTTTCTAACATATAATTTTAAATTATGTTATGGAAATAATCTTTGTACAAATAAATACTAAGTTTTAGGAACGTTTTTTGTGTTATTTACTTGCATTAGTTTGTTTTCTGTCTCAAACAATTTGTTCTTACTGTCTTTGGGATCGAATCGAGCTTTACAGCCATTTTGAGCGCTAAGGCCCTGAATGCAAATTTGCGTCCAATGTTGGGATCTAGACACAACTTTATTAGACGGCCATGTTGCAGATCCTTATTCGCACCAAAATATTATAGTTCACAAGGTTCTAGCAGTTCAGCACTGAATTATGCAGAGTTTTTTAATCATGGTAAACGAGAGGGAATTAAAATAGGGGCATAATTGTCAACGTTTTTAAGGTCACCATGCAATTTCAGCTGCTCTTTAATTTTTCCTGGTTGTTATTAACAAAATGTTCAATATTTGAGATTTCGTAACTTGTGAGCTTGGATACTAAACTTTATAATTTGTTTAGTAAAACAGATGTCTACTAACCTGAAGGGTTAATGATCCAAAAAATTAAATTCGAGCCCTGACAATGGACTTAGGCCACTTGAGTCTCACAGCCAATAACATCACAGAAAAACTGACCAATCATTTTACACAAACTGGACTAAGAACATTCAACTGACAACAACTATTCACTTGACTCTGATGATGACTTCTGCACTGGTTGTTGAAATGACTTTTGTCAGTCACTGCCACTGACAACAGTCCTTCTGAGGACTACACTCACCCAGATGATCACACTAGTGTTCTTCTTTACCAGGCATACTGACTAATTCAGTGAGAGCATTGTTAGTAAGAATGTGATTTTCAATGGCAGTGTCAAAGCTAAATTGTCAGAACAATTACCACATCTCTGTATGTTTTTTGTTTGAAGTAAACCCAGGATCAGTGTTAATCAAAGTTAAAACATCTTATGGGTGCATTTTTTTTCTTTTTTTTCAGTGTTACCGAATGAAAGTACATTTAATTCGCCAACAACTTTTTTTTTTTTTTTACCACAGGTTTAGATAAAATGCGAGAAATGATTTTACATGCAGCCCAACTGGTAAGAAAAGCTATTATTATGTTAACTGAAAATGCTTGTAATTGTGATTTTGTGCATGTGTGCTCTGAAGTAACTGAGATAGAAATAAATCAAATATTATTGGAAGATCTTGTACCCATTATGTCTGAATCACTTAGTGGTAGATTTTTGTTCATCCTTTGCTCAACAGCAACCCCTATCCAGTTTAAATGCATAGTTTCCTTTTTGGCACAAGCTTGGCCAGTTTTGCAAAATTCTGTACTTGAAGCTGGTTACCAACAGTCGTACTGAAATGTAATTATCATTTCTGATCAAATGATGTGTCATCATCTTTTCTAGTCTCAACAACTGTGTGTGAGTTTGGATGGCATGCAAGCTGCTATGAAGAGGATAGTAAGTAACTTGGAAACACATTCAGCTATGTACTGTATTTAACAATTATTCCACAAGCGCACATTGGATATGAGATGATAGATAGCCAACAAGGCGCCGACTTGGCTATAATCATCTCATATCCAACAAGCGCTAGTGGAATAATTGTGTTATTAAAAATAAAAGCCCCCAAGATATTAGACAAATCTTCTCGACTTTATTTTGTAGGAAGAAACTGGATGTTACAATGTACAGATATAAGATTATGGTATATTGGCTCATATACCATAATGGCTAAGCCAATAAAAAGTCTAGAATTGCATTATCCAATGATCCAGTTTTTAATAATACTAAATGGTAGTTATTCAGCCATGTGACTTTCTAGAATTCATAATCTTGTTTTCATTTTCATGCAGAGATTTCAAACTACATTATTGAACATTGCTAGAATCCTCAGTTTTTCCATAAATTAATGCCATGTCCAAATGTTTTGTCTGCTCCGTCTTTCTGAATATTTTGATGAGTAGTGTATTTGCTTAAGGCCCAGCCTCACTGTTTGTCATCCATGGTCGTATTCAAATACAAAGCAGCCCCTGTATCCCCTGGTGAATCTATTGTACCTACTGGGGGAGAAGATGATGCTTCAGATCAAGATGAAGAACAAGGTACTTTTAGATACAAAGCACCTGTTATTTTAAGTATGCTACCTTTATTGTTCTGGCTCCGGTTGTTCAAAGGGCGGATAATGCTATCCAACAGATAAATCGCTCTCCAGCGGATAAGTGTTACCAAAACGTACCGCGCTATCCACCGGATAGAGATTTATCCAGTGTATAGCGTTATCCATCCTTTGAACAACCGGGGCCAGTTGTAGAAAAGATCCCCACCTCAACTACTTGGGGGATTTTCCGTTTTGATCCCGCCTCCCAAAAATGCTGTTGTTCAATGGGAGAGCATCAGAGCCTGAATCTGAGGGTCTGGAGTTCAATCCCTTTGGAGATCTTTTCATTGTTGCACATTCTTGACAAGATAAATAACATCTTTTATTAATCCACTGCCAACCTCAAAATTTACATCTTTCTTATTTCAGGTCTAATTTTGATTTCTGCTTTCCCTTAAATTTTTTTGCTTTTTGGGATGTGACTTAAAAAGTTTTTTTTTTTTTTTGTCATCAAACTGTTTCTCAAACTTAAATGTGATTGTGATTTATTTTACACAGATGATACAGAGCTGTCATCTTCAGCAGGATCATCCTCTCCAGAACCAGGCTGTGTTTCACCTTCTGTGAGGGACTCAATCAATCAAATGGTAACAGAATAAATTAAACTGCTACACTAAAGTACATGATACTTTTGAAGAGCAAAATGTATTTTCTTTTCATCATCAAGTACTCTTCTCTGGTTCAGTTAAGTGCTTCTGTGGTAATACATGTATAAGGATTCCACTTATCATGGAATCCTCACCAATTAACAGATAGGAAAAGTAACCTATGTAAGGAGTGATTTAACGTGTGCAGTTGGCAATCCCTTGACTATTTGAGAACAAAGGTGAAAGACTGAAAAAGTAAATGGTGGCTGGTGTGCCAGAGGAGACACTATGTATTTCCCAAGCAGAATTATATCACAGAATGGTTGTCATTTGAACCTTTTTATCATTATTTTATCTTCATGTGAGTTACTGTTGATTGTATATGTTGATGCTAGCATTAGAAGAGGTTTTGCTAGCTTGGAAGGTAGATAGATATTGAATGGTTCTGGGATGATGGGAATTATGGGTTGGCTAAGAAAAGGAATTTTTTACAAAAGAAATGCAGTTTATTCTTACCAAGGCAGTACAGTTGGAAACTGAAATATACCATCAGGACAATTCTCTTATTCTCCTTGGAGGAATGAGATCATAGCATTCACTTGTCTTTCAAATTCACCAATGTTTTTTCTTTACATACTGGTATTTATCTAATTTTAGATTGCAAAATACCTGGCTCAACAAGTACCTTCTGTTAAAATTGGTGTTGTGAATTTGCCCAAAGAGGGATGCTGCATTAGATTCAATCCTGTCCTTTCATCTAGAAGTAAGTTTTACTATGAAGAAGGTCTAATCAAACCTCAAAATCTCAAGTTACAGGCTCACCAGGAGAAAGCAATTGGTTGCCACTTGACCAAGAGTTTATATATTGTGTACATGTTAATTGCTTGTCCTAACAACTGTGAGTAAGAGGTGCTGACTGTTTTGGTCTGTGGCTTTTGTGTTGACTGGAAATTCACTGAAACTCAGCTCTTGGCACAGGGACACTCCACTCTATTTTCAAGAAATCTTTGGCTTTTGATATCAAAAGGTTGCTATAGATAGAAATCATGGAGGCAGCATGGTGGAGTGGTTAGGGAACTTGACTTGTAGTCTGGTGGTTCCAGCTTCAAGTCCTCTTCCCTACTACTCACTAGATTTGCTCTCAGTTGCCCGGAGTTCAACTCCTTGGCTGCGCTGTGTAAACAGCCAACTGGTCTGCCTCCAGTTAGTTGGAATTTTCAAGCAGTTTATGTTCATTTGAAATATTTGTTTCTTTGTTTGTGCATATATGAGCATCTGTAAATGGATGTGCATGTTGAAAGTATGATATTATTATTATTATTACATCCAGAATTTAACAATTAGGAAAAAAATAATTACAGCTGAGATAGGCACTTGCCTTTGTTTGCTAAGTTGATCATGATACCAGTTAATACTATTAGGAAACTTGTGTAATTAATCAGCTTCTGTTTTATTTATATTGCTGCTGGAAACAGTGACTTCTTAAATGTTAAGAATTTGTAAGAGAAATAAATTGCAGCAGAGTGATTTATTTGTAATCTGGTATTTTGCTGTTTTCCTTTCAGTATGTGGGACAACTAGCGAAAATGTTGAAGACTTTGTAATTTGCCTCAAAGAAGAAGTGGTGGGTTATGTTGATAAAGTTCTTTTTAACTTAGTTTGCTTCGTTCAATGGCTTGAATGTCATTTATCATAATGTCATTGGTGGGATTGACAAAAATAATTGTAAAGACAATATTATTTTAGTGTTGCTAGCAACTTTACCAGTGCAAACAACATCTAATTTTCCCTTAAAATGTCACCCTTGAACCAAACATTAAGGTCACAAGAATAAAGGAGAAGATCACCAACTAAAGAAGCACTTGTTTGTTAAACAATTCCCCTTGCCAACACCTTAAGATTGATTTGAATTGTATTAAGTGATGGATGGAGAAAATGCTTTGGCCTCAAATGGTAACAGTAGCTTTTTCCATTTTAAATTCAGGCCAGATTAGATGCCCTGCTTCTATCTCAAGAGGAATTCAGGTTAGCAACAGAAGGCAAGGAACATGTTGTCGTTGTGGAGATCCAGGACACTTCAGCTGTTGGTGCTCTTCTGTAAGTACAGCTAAGATTTATCCCATTTCATTTCATAATTGACATAAGAGCCAATAGGGTAATTTGTGGTGGTTTTGTATAGTACCAAGTCATACATACTGTGGTGTATAACATTTACAAGTTGATTTGATTTTTTTTCTCTTTACCTCTTTGTAACCAGATGTGTTCCTCGTTACTGGACCAACAAGGATTTAGGAAAACTCAGAGAGGCCAAGAAAGTTGAACTTAATGACTGGAACAAGGAAGTGTTGGCAAAGGTTTCTGAAGGGATGGAAGATGTTTTCAGCAAGGGCCGTACACAAGATGGTCTTACTTGTATTATAATTGACAAGGTATGAAAGTACTGTGGTTTAGTTTATGGTCCGCAAATGCTTATGAATGTGTTTGCTGATTAGATCCAGAGGCCCACTGTAGAGATTTGTATATATTACAATATTTTGCAGTTAAATTTCACCAGGTTCTCATTACTGAAGGAAAAAAAATGTTGTACTATTCTGTCATTACCTGGGTTGTATTTCTGTGTGGTAATCTTAAAATGAACTGGTGATGTTTAACATTAAATTTTGTTAAGAGCATGAGATAAACAATTGAAAAAATAGATACTGGTAAATCATAAGATTTTTTTTCGCTTTAATCTCTTCATTCTAACAGACATATTTACATCATTATTTCTTTCCATCTTTGTTTCTCTTTCTCTTTATTTTTCATATCTATTTATCTCTACACTTTAGCCTTAAATCAACCATCTCTGTGCTTAACAGCTTGGTTACAAATTTTTTTCCCTTGTATTTTCTCAGGTTCCAGCTTCATCATCTGTTGATGCAGTGGTAGATATTGTTTGTAAAGGAGCTTCAGAACTGGAAACCTCAAGCAAGGTATACTAAGCTGGCTGAATCATTGTTTTTATCTAAATTATAAGGTACAAACAAACTTTCAATCTTGTTTGTGTCAAGTTTACACTGCGAAAATCAGGCCTAAATACTTGGTTACAAAAGGCACACTAAACTTCAGGTAATTTTTGGACCATGATCACTTATATTTCAACTCAATTATTCAACATTTGCTTATAACATCCACTTATACTTGTAAACAAGAGCAAAAAAACTCTAGCACATTGGCATTAAGAACAAAAACTTGGAAAAATTATACTTTGTTGCACACAGATAGTGGCTTTAATATGCACCCCAAGTTCAGAACAATTTTAGAGTGCACAGAGAGGTCTCTACAGAAAAAGTGCTTTGCCATGTAATAAAGAAGATACAGTATTTATGAAAAGGACTTATGAAACAGATGTCTCTGGTTGAATTCTCCAATTATGTTTAGCCCTCTTCTCAAAAGATAAGGAATTGCTAACATTAAAATCAACCAAAATCTTTGAAGTCATTAGATGTAGATCAGATTTTGCTATGGAGAAAGAATAATTAGAATTATTGCATTAGTAAATTTCATGAATAGGGAAACTCTAATTTCATCAGAAGTATGCATGTTTAAGTTGATAATATATTTATACTGTTTTTCCTTTTTAGTATTTGGAGCAGATGGCTGATGCAATTCAGAAAGGTATTGAAGCAGCTCAGCAAGACTTAGTGAAAGAATCAGAGGAAAAATTGTTGGAAGAGGTAATTAAATAATTTGGCCTTGTAGTCCATTTTGAGATGCCCTAACATTTTATATATCATTAACAATGAGGAAAAGTAGGCATTTTCAATTTGAGTGGTAAGTTAACAAATCCACAGTTGTTTGGTGTGGTCTGCACTCTTGTCAGCAATGAGGTTGGTCATCACTGCAGTCAAAATGTTGTGGATTCACACAGCCTAGCTGAGGGAGTCTTTAACAAATTTTGACCACTATGAAGACAAATATTGTTCTCGATAAGAATACAGACCTCACTGAAGCACCAGTGGATTTGTTTATTTGCCACTATACCAACATCAAATAAAATGCTCCTTTCAGTGCATCTACAGTGCTGACAAGGAGAATTATTTTGTTCATGTGATTCAGGGGTGATATTGTAAGGAGAAATTATATTCCAATCACTGTTAGGGATTAAAGGGTTTAATTATTGTTACAATCACCTCTTATTAACAAAGATTTAGTAATACATAGACAGGTAAAAACGAACGATATAATATCCTGACGTTTCGGCGACTTCATGACGCCATTATCAAGGGTACGAATGAAAATAAAATTAACAAATGCGAGTTCAAGAGTTACAACTAATTTGCGGAGTCTTGGTCCGCTAACATTGTTAAGACACAGTTGAAAGACCTTAGCATTAAGCTCCAAACCACAATCCAGCCCGTATTTGTCAGTCGGAAAATTGGCCAAGACCTTAAAGAATGTGAAACCAAACCACAGCTGGTTAATCAACAGTGCGTAGTGTACCAATTTAAATGTAACCTGTGCGATACAGGGAGCTATGTTGGTTACACACGTGGGCATATAAATGCCCACGTGTGTAACCAACATAGCTCCCTGTATCACACAAGTTACATTTAAATTGGTACACTACGCACTGTTGATTAACCAGCTGTGGTTTGGTTTCACATTCTTTAAGGTCTTGGCCAATTTTCCGACTGACAAATACGGGCTGGATTGTGGTTTGGAGCTTAATGCTAAGGTCTTTCAACTGTGTCTTAACAATGTTAGCGGACCAAGACTCCGCAAATTAGTTGTAACTCTTGAACTCGCATTTGTTAATTTTATTTTCATTTGTACCCTTGATAATGGCGTCATGAAGTTGCCGAAACGTCGGGATATTATATCGTTCATTTTTACCTGTCTATGAATCGCCTCTTAGATTTTTTATCGACACCTGACAAGTTGTGTCATTCTAAACATTTTGCTTATCCCTCTTTCCTAAACTTCCCTTTAATGTGAAAGAATTGTTTTTTGTTTTTGTTTGTTTTTCAAATTGAAAGAAATGTCACTCATTAACATGGTGTTTCTGTCTCTGTAAGGGTTTGTTACGACAGGTCCCTCTTGTGAGCTCCTTCATGAACTGGCTGTCGCCTCTTCCAGAGGAACCCAAAACCATTGGGAGAACTTTCAATCTTACATCTGGTAAGTCTTTTCTGCTGTTTTGTTTTGTTTTGTTTTTTTTTTTTAATGATACACAGAGTAGAGTGGAATGTCATCTTCTTTGATATACACATATGAAAAAACCTCTTGTGTACTCTGTCACTATGTGACAAGACTTCCAGATCTGGCTATAAGATGAGAGACTTATGCCCCATTCACACCAAAGCTTAAGTATGTTTTAAAGCTATTTTGTTACATGGTTTGAAATAGTTTTTTTTTTCATAGAAGCTACTTGAATCAAGGTTTGTCAACTTCAAATTCAGCACATTGAAATAAGTTAGTGACTACTTGAAACTTATGGAAAATTCAGTTTTTCAGTTCTGCTTCAGCTGTCTTTCAGTTACACCCAGTTTAACTAAACATGTTTTGCTGGTGTGAATGGGATATAAGTAACTTTGTACAACACAAGAAAAACTAATTAATGAACTGTACTATACAAGTTGGTACCTAATTTTTCTCTCCATAAAAAAACATGATGGTTCATTAACCAATTGCTTACAGATTGTGGTGCAAAGGTTCTTCAGCCATCCAACTATTAGTCTTCCATGTTTAAGGAGAATCAAGTTTTTGACTGGCCACTAGGATGTGGAGCCAGTGGGAGATTCTAGGACAAGAGAAACTGCTCTAACCTGCACTAGTTTGACTTGATTAGTGGCAGTAAAGCACAAGTCAATAATGACTCTCCTCAATCTTTAATGCAGCTCTAGTAATTAACAATTACATTCCTAAAAATGATGCATATTTTTGCAGGTAATCTACACAAGACTGAAAAAATTTATAAATATCACATGCAAGTTCAAGATGAGGATGACGAAGAAGCCATACCAGTGACACCAACTAAATCTTCATCAGAAGCTATTCCAGACAAGGAAAGCCCTACAGTGGCAGACTGAATGAAAAACTCTATATAACAAGGCATAGTTTATGTACAGTAGTCTCCACAAAGCTTTAGGATCTTAAAAGAAAACCAAGCCACATTATTCATTTAAATAATGCAATATTTAACAGTGAGAGTAATTACAGACAGTAAGGAGAGAATCTGTATTCCATAACTAAAACAGTTCATGCACTTTGAGCTCTATTAGAAAGGCATCTGTTGCATACCTGGTGACAATAACATCAGCCACCAATGACAAAAGACTAAGATAGTTGATTTACTGTTTGGAAGTATCATTTTAATGGTAGCAAGATGCAGTGGTAAAGCAGTGCTCCCTCTGTAACTGAACAAGTGGCAGTTGCTCAGAATCTTTCAGCCGTTACACTTTCTGTCCATGTGTCTTGGATTGTATGATAGATTATGTAGTAGAATTGTAGGGTAAAAAGGGTGGGCTTTTTTGGAACAAACTATCAATCAGAAATCAAGGTGACTTGTTATTTATACATAATCCTCTGGCAAATGACAGGAAATGGCTTGAGAAGCTGAAACAAGGACAGACATATACCTGATAGAAATCATGTACATGTTGAAGCACAATATGAAACAACCAAGAGGATAAAATTTTCCAGTTTTATGCTGTTGTAGAGCTGGGATGCCATAGCTATCTAGCTTTTCTCTTTGGGTGCCTTTAACATCTCAGCTTTTCACAAATCTTTCTATTGGCTTGGTCACAACATATTTCTGAGACCGCTGCCTCTGACACCTATTGATTCTTGTGAAACCACACCCTTGTGCAAACAAATTTAAGAGTGATGTTGAGAGGAGGTTGCCTTCATTAGATTTACTTATAAGTAAACTTCAGGCCCCAGTTATTCAAAGGTTAGATAATGTCATTCACTGGATATATCTCCACCCAGTGGATAGCACAGTAGGTTTTGCCATCTCTTATCCTATCTGTTGGATAGGGTTATCCACCTTTTAAACTACTGGGCCCAAACTGTTCAAAGCAGGGGTTTCAATAAAAACTGGTTTCCAGCAGTCTACCACTACCTGTTAGACCTCTTACCCCTATCTGTTTCACCTGGAAGCAGGCTCTTTAGGGAGGGTTTTTTGCATTACAGCAGAGATGCCTATTATGCCATTGGCAGGTATGAAGAGAAAAAAAAATATTGAAACCCCTTCCAAAGCTTCTTGACAAGATTCTCTTTGGCTTTCGGTGTTAACAAATGTTGGCGAAAAATACAACAGGTGCAGGTTCAAGTGTCATCAGAAGTGGCCAATGAAATCCTGCACTAAGAGCCAATCATTGTTACCCTCAAGGAAATATTATGTAGTGATGGTTTATTTGCAAAATAAGATTTAACAGTTTCACAAACAATATCCATAGTATGGAAGTTACATTTTACATGATTATTACTAAACATGGTAGATGGTTAATATGGGGCTTATCATATTTCTGTTAGCTTTTAAATATTTCATCCAAGGACTTTATTTGCATAGAAAACTTCTCTGAAGATTTTTGTTTCTAAGTGTTGTGGAATGCTAAGTCTGGGACAGTTTGGGAAGAATGTAGAATTGTTGTCTTGCAAAAAGTACAGAATGTCTCCATTTTTAAATGGGTACACTAATAGCATTGTCAACAGGTTTAAAATTTTAAGAATGAAGTTTAATCAATGAAAGCATTGTGATTCACGCTTGCATTGTGAAGCGTTACTGTAGCTTTGAAAGTTACAGTGACCCGTTTATTTTCGTACTAGTTGCCAGAGGAAGCAATTCAAACTAAAAAACAAATAGATTGTTTTAAATATAAAATAACATTTGAGAGTTCAACCAAATGTAACTTACAATTCATAGGGCATTCCACACATCTCATACATCTTTATGTGATCTCTGGTTGACCGTTATGTTCAGTATTGAATTCGTCTTTAAATAAAAGGGGGAGGTTGGTCCCCAGACTCCCTGGGACAATGCTATGGTGCCAAAACTATTATACACTAAGTGCAAATCACATTTATTTAGTATATACACACTCAGTGATCTTTGCATTTCGAGCAATCTGATTGGTTCGCTATCTCGGGCTAATCAACAATGTACACCTCCAAGCGAGTTGATAATGTGAAAAACAAAATAGCGGGCGTAAACTCGCGTTTTGCTAAAGTTTCAGAAGCAGAAATTACCTTTTTAGGGCTTTCTTTTAATTTTGTCAAATCACTTTGTGTGTATATACTAAAACAATTATTCTTTTCAATCTCGGTGAATAGTGGCTTTCGGGACACTTTAGGCTTCTGAACTAGTTAATCCTTTAACTCCCATGAGTGACCACAACAGTTTCTCCAAAACCAAATTCTCCAAACTTACATTATAAGAATTGAATGAGACAATAAGGAGAATTACCACTGAGATCTTGGGAGCAAAAGGGTTCATTAAGCATTGCGTGGAGTGAGACCTGTATCTTTTTTTTTTTTATTTTCAATTTTAGTTGTTAAAAAAGATTTACTGCTAAATATTACTGCTGGGTTCTTAGTAAATCTGAAACACAATCAAAAGGCCATAACTATACCATCCTGTATTTTCTCAAACACTGTCATTGATTAGTTTCTGAAAAAAAAANTATTGCTCAAATAGTGCTTTACTGCGAAGGATCGTTCTCATATACGTCTCATAACCGCAGTTCACACATATGTTTCATATGTTTGTTGTTGTTTGATTTATCATCTACGGGTTTATATCGAATTAATTTGATGGCCTGCTCCCAGTTGGCTTGTTAGCTCAATTGGTAGAGCGCTGCACTAGTATCGCAGAGGTCAGTGGTTCGAATCCCGTACAGGCCTGAAATTTTTTTCAGGTCTGATTTTCACTATTGCTCAAATAGTGCTTTACTGCGAAGGATCGTTCTCATATACGTCTCATAACCGCAGTTCACACATATGTTTCATATGTTTGTTGTTGTTTGATTTATCATCTACGGGTTTATATCGAATTAATTTGATGGCCTGCTCCCAGTTGGCTTGTTAGCTCAATTGGTAGAGCGCTGCACTAGTATCGCAGAGGTCAGTGGTTCGAATCCCGTACAGGCCTGAAATTTTTTTCAGGTCTGATTTTCACTATTGCTCAAATAGTGCTTTACTGCGAAGGATCGTTCTCATATACGTCTCATAACCGCAGTTCACACATATGTTTCATATGTTTGTTGTTGTTTGATTTATCATCTACGGGTTTATATCGAATTAATTTGATGGCCTGCTCCCAGTTGGCTTGTTAGCTCAATTGGTAGAGCGCTGCACTAGTATCGCAGAGGTCAGTGGTTCGAATCCCGTACAGGCCTGAAATTTTTTTCAGGTCTGATTTTCACTATTGCTCAAATAGTGCTTTACTGCGAAGGATCGTTCTCATATACGTCTCATAACCGCAGTTCACACATATGTTTCATATGTTTGTTGTTCTACAATCAACTTGGTCCACAAAACCAAAAATACAAATTATTAGCCTGCCAAAGTCTCTATTTTAGCCCACAAAATGTGCTCCATTGCCTGAAAAAGTGATATGAAGCAAACCACCCATAGGCAGAGCATTAGTTACTAGTGGGCATTTCCAGGTCACTTGATAGGCTTTGCCTTGCAGACTGAAGAATGCAAATTGGGTTGAACAATAAATATATCTTATTAACCAAGCGCGAGGGCCGTACTGGGAGAATATTGGCCCGAGGTCTTGACAGTACGGACCGAGCACAGCGAGGTCTGTCCAAAAAAGACCGAGGGCCAATATTCTTCCAGTACGGTCCCGAGCAAGCTTGGTTAATAAGAGATTTATTATACGACTGAAGTTCAAAGGGACACAAGTGTGGTATCATTCGGGACCATTCAGGACAGTGCCCGGTCCAATACTTAAAGAATATTGACCGGCAATAAAGCATTTTGATTGGCTGATTTTAGTTATTGGCCCTCTGACTGCCCGAGTCATGTAATAATACTGCTGAATCAACCATTGTGGTCATGAGAATAAAGGGAAACATCACCAACTGAAGAGTTTTATTATGAATAAATTATCCCTTTCTGCTACAAGTATCCAAACCTACTTAAAATTGAATTTACTGAAATCTGAAAAACACTTTAATTCTAGTCTAACTAACCAAGCTTGTTGCCAAATTTTATTTTTATTTTAGAGGACAATCCTTAGCAATTTATAATGTTCTTTGCCATAAGTTGCTTTATATCATCTGATGTTCTCTGGAGTGGCATTCTCACTATCCACTTCACCACCATGAAGCTAGGAAAAAAGAAGGAAAGAGGGCACATCAGTGTAGCAGGTGATTGTATAAATCAGTTAGAAGTTCCACAACTCTTGTACTAACAAGTTATGAGCACAGATTTCTATAATTGTTTTCATGGTGAAAAATGTCTTACTTTTACAAGTGGTGTGATCTTTTCAAAAATCATCTTAAACATAAGGCACTTGGTACCTAACAACTGTACTTTACAAAACGACCTACACACAGACTTTGTTTAATTTTGCTCAGTTTACAACAAATGCAAATTAGAAATACTGAACAAAGTAAATAAGGAATAAATAATAATTGCAAAAGCCAGGTGGTGAGTTGCATTCATCCAAGTAGCAAAGGCTAATTTAGTAGATATGCCCCTCCCCCTTGAAAAAAAAAAAAGAAACACCTTTAGCATTCTTAAGTATTACTTACTGCAGAAGCAATATTTATCCATTGCATAGCTTTCACAATGGCATCATTATTTGAGGGTGGAGTCTCTAAATTCCAGTAGGTAAACTGTGAAAATTTATGTATGGGTTTCATCACTCGATCCTGAAAATATGGAAACCATACAGAATGAGTCATCACATTTTATTGCATCTTAGACAGCCTCAATTTTGAATGATTCTTCATGCTGCTTCATCTCAGTTTAAAC